TGCAAATGCTGATGTTCCTGGCAGGGGAAGTGTTCAGTAGTAAACAGAGTTTTGAGTAAGTCACTTCTCTGGGCTTAGCTCTGCTATTTGGCACTTCTTCAAGAGAAAAGAATGTTTCTATGGGCTTGTAGGGCTTAATTTCTCCACCTTGCTCACATCTAAAAAATATTTAGGTGGTCAGGTCACATTGTCTTCTAATTCAAGCTAAAAGTGTTTTGGTTTTGTTTTTTGGTTTGGCAAAAGCTAATGTCTTCAGTATCATGATGCCTTCCTGAAAGACACCTTTGTAGCTTTGCTTCTATGCCAGCTTTAGCCTATTGGGCATTAAGCTTAATGTTGTCTCCTACGATGCGTATCAATGTTCTGACTAACTTTTCCTTTCTACAGATTAGCAATCAACTGATCTCTTTTTTGACAAAATAAACTAATCTTTTATGCTCTGTTTGTGAAAGGCATAAATTTTGCGGGGAAAATTCTATTGAAAGCACCTGTTTGATAAACAACATAAGCACTTACTGGGCTAATTCATACTTTTCTTGAGGGACAAATGTAGCTACTGCTGTGGAAGAGACTGGTAAAGCAGGGGACTGCAATGAAACCTACTGAAGATTGTTAGACTGGTAGATGTGCACTTTTTGCAGTAGTGCCAAAGCTTTATAGCCCACTGTTGATAGTTTTGCAACTAATTGAAATCAAACTTGCTGTTTGACACTAAAGTGGACTTCTGCATTCTTTAACTTTGAAGTTTTGCGTTACATACTGATTTTATTGTGCTGCACATAATATCTAAACAGGACTTTGCCTCTTATCTGGTAAATTTTTTGAAAAGGAAAGTGATGTTTTATCTTCATGGGTTTTTTTTGTATATTCATGGCACTGGAAACCTTTTTGGGCAATGCTGTTGAACTTCATAATCTGATGTGAGTTCTACTTGATACTAACTGCTCATGTTATGCTACTACAGATGAGTATTATCTCTGAACCCAAGCTTATTCTGAGAAATAAACTGCTAATTTGTGTTTGTTCAAACTCTGTTTAAAGCCATCATAATAATAACAACTCATGTTTATACTATGTGAAACGTTAATGTGCAGGGTGATGCACTTTGGTTGAATTGATGAGCAATTCCTGGGTGAGATCAGTGCTGTGAGGGACAGAGGCTGAGAAATGTCAGTTGCTGCATTCAGCTTTGGCCTCACTTCTGCCCTGTCCATGGTGAGGGTATGCTGCTGGGCTCCATTTGAAATCGGGTGAGGAAAGATCTGAGGAGCCCCACTTGCAGTTTGGTACTTGTACAAATTACTTGTACCAGATACAGTTCATTTTAAATAAATAAATTGCAGTGACTTGCATGTGAAGTCTGTGGACTTAATATTGTACTCTTCTCAATCCTTCAGGTACATTTGTTAATACAGTGGTGAAGAACGCATACAGTGTATGAAACTGAGTAAAATAATTGGCAGTCTGACAGTGGAATGAGTTCCAGACAAGGACTTTTAAAACGCTTAGTGAAGCTTGCTCATAACTATGAGAAAGCCAAGCAGTCACAGTGGTTTGGAGTTGTTTTTGAAGGTATTATTTATTAGAGTGTACAAAAGTGTAAAATGGAATAAGGAGAAATGTAGGGAGGAGTTGCAACTTACATATTTAAATCTTGTCATTTAAGCAAAAGAAAACCAAAACAAACAGTCTGTGGCATAGACTTTGTCTCAAGTCTCATGCCTAGTCACTGGTAATTTGTTGTTGACACCCAGGACTTAGAGACTCAAGGGGCTGGCAAAAAAGGGAAGGGACTGCACCAGGAACCATAGATGAGCAACAGGGAAAGTAAGTGAAAGAGAAGGGAAGTTCCTTTTTGTGCTGCCTCTTGTTTCCCTTCCTCTGGCTCACCCCATTGCACCTCTTTCTGTTCTGCCTTGAGCAGTAAAATGCTCATGGAGACAGATGGTTTTTACTCATCTTTTCTGGAGAGAGGTGAATGACAAGCTGCAGCAGGTGATCTTGGTGAGCTGTGGAGTGATGTTATAGGCGTATTTCTTGCTAGGTGCCTTCTTTAACTCTACTGCCTCTTTTAAGAAATGGGAAATCTAATCCATTATACTATATGAGTCAGACTATTGGACAAGTGTACTAGAATTGTTCATAATATTTAGTCTTATCAGTCAAGCTACTTGTGTTTCTACCTCTTATATTCTGACTAAAAGGCTATTTCAGAGGCCTATATATCTCCCTCACTATGAAAGTCTTTATTGCCAACTGTATTTGTAGCTCCTTAGTTCTTGGTTGTTCGATCAGTACTGCTCTCTCTTATCTGATATCTACTGCCTATGCAATTAGCTGATATACAGCCCTTACATTCTGCTGAACTGTGCAAACACCAAGTTTTCTAGTTTTGGAGATCATGAAGAATGTACCTTAGCAGTCCTTCTCTGTCTGGGTTTAAGACAGATGAATTAAAACTGAGCATGTTTGCAAATTCTGATTGAATGCTGTTTCAGAAGAAATTCTTGTTAGGTGGCTAAAATTGTTAATGTCTTGGAAAGACTTGTCTAATGGTCACACTATTATATTGTTCTACCACAACAATAGGAAGTGGATATTATTTTTCCCTCATGTTTTGAATTGACAAGCTCCCAGTTCATGCGAGTTATATAACTCAGAGCTCATTACTGCACAAATCTGTCTGTTCTCTTGCTTCAGTCTTTAAGAGTTGTTTTGCAGGCAGAACTGGCTGACCTTGATCTTCCACTGTAGCAAAGATTTGCCAGCTCTGTCAGCAGTACAACTACTAGTTATTCATTAATGATGCTGGCATATGCACTGCATAACACTAGCTCATTGGCTTTATCCTTGAGATTACCTTACTGGTAACCTCTTCCCAACCTTAACATACCTGTTCTTATCTTCCCTTTAGACAGTTTCTTCCCTATGTTACAATTGCCTTGGAAAATGAAGTATACATCAGTGATGCTTTTTGGTATTGTCATATGGGATCTATTTAGTAAAGAGCCTTTAATGACCCTGTGCCATCTCCACTCCTTACTTGAAAGGAGTATGTAAACTCCCCAATCTCTTTTATTTTCATGTAAGACTAAGCCCAACTAATTTTTACTAATTCTCCTTCTCAGTGTGCCAGACTCAGTCCTTAGAAATTGTAGCTTGTTTAGGGAAAAAATGGACATTTGTAGAAAAAGCAGGACCTTTCTTTTAATTTTCTGTGGCAACACGTGACTGACAGATGAGCAGGATTTATTTTGCTGGTGATGTGCTGTTGAATCTTTGCTACTTTTCCTTGAGAAACCACTTTAGACTTTACGGGAAGTACACTATCTCCTATACTACTATTAAAATTCATTCTTCAGTTGTATCTGGGAAGTTAAAGACCTTGGCGCTAATGATAGTTGTACTGTTAGGAAGACAACTATCACTTGGTGTCTTCAGTCATATCCAGTCTCCCTGTGCCAGGAGGTTTCATACTTAGGAAATTACTACCACGATACAAAAACTTATCCCTGTCTTCTGAAATTGTATCTCTGAGGGTGAAAAAGTAGTCTGTCTCACAACTATAGGGAAGCCCTGCAGTTGTACTTTGTATAGTAAGAGATTTTGGCTCTTTCATCACTTACACCAGTTCTTCTGCTTGTTTGTCCTGCTTGTACTGATGAAAAAACAAAGCTCTATTTTTCCTCTGTCTCTGCATTGTCTTTGGGGGGGAGACTTGCACTGCAGAAAGTACTTAAGCTATATATTTGGAATAACCTTGATTTGATTTTAGAAACTTTTTTTTTTTTTTAAAAAAAAAAAAACTAACCTAAAATCCCACAAAGCCAGACCTCGAGTCATGTAAAACAGAACAAAACCCCTACGTGTTGTGAGAAGTTTTCCTTAATGGCTTCACTTGTCAGAAACAGTTGGAGATGCGGCCTCTGTGGTTTGATGACTTCTACTTTTATCCCCCTTCCCAGCAGCTAATAGTGAAGCCTATCTATGTGTATTTAAAAAGTAAATTAAACTTGCTGTATGAAGTTTGTTCTGAAGGAGTAGATATTGACATTGGAGAGTACTTCAACCAAAAAGACCTCAAAAGCCAGTATTGACATGTTTTTTCAGACTAATAACTGGCTTGGATTGAGAAAAAGGTAATTTATAAATGTTGTAGTTCTGTGACTTTAGTTTTCAGTTTAACAGTGTTTAGTAAATCTGATCCATCTTGCTGTAATCTGGTTTTTAGAAATTAACTTTTACCTCAAACTTTAATGGAGCATGTCTCCTTTCAGGACTGAAATGTGCTGAGCAGTAAGACAAATGACTGGTGGAACTACTTTTTAAATCTGTTACACAGTTAGGGGAAACTGAAGAAACACTTCATGAAGTTTACTGTATAAGCTTTTTTAGCAGTACTGTATTTCAATGCATAGAATTTCTGATTAATTGTTACTTCAAACGGAGGAGATACCTAGAACTTTAAGGTTTGTACTTAGCTAAATTTTGCTGGTTATGACTTCAGGAACCTGTTTGTATGAAGTTTTCTTTCTTAGTTAGCAAAGTGGGATTGGTTTCAGATAGAGTAAAAGAGGTGGAAAGAGATTATGAAAGAGAAGGTGTTTTAATAACTTATTGTAGCTGGTTCTCACTTGCTTAAAAAGCAAAACAACAACTTTGAGTTGTTTGGTATTTTGTTTGCATGATCTTGACAGAGGAAGATGCTGCGAGCAATTACAGACTAATTACGTCATGATCTCAGTATTGCCGAAGAGTGAGCACACATTTCAAGCAAGTTCTCTTTGCATGGAAAAGTGTGTCATCACTGCCTGAGGGACTTCATTCCTGTGATACACATACCATTGCTTTCCATTTCTGATGCAGCAGCAGGCAATTACATAAAAAAAAAAAGCCCCCTCAAACACCAGAGTAACCTCACCACTCTGCAAATTTTATCTCCCACCTTGAGAAGCTGAAACATTCATGTGTGTGTAGGAGAAAATGAGGAGTAAGCCACCATGACGCCATTATTTATAGAGCAGGGATTTAAAAAGGATGATACTGGTGATGTGATGTCAGTGACACCACCTAACCATGATCACAGGTATTTGTGGCAGTGTGCTGAAGCTGTGATAAGGTTTTTCTAGGCTGAACTTAATTTTTTGAGGAACTGCTTTACCATGATAATTAAAACTCCCTGCTTTAGAGAAGTAAACCTGTAAATAATCAAGATCCTCTTATTTGTGTGCGCCTCATTCTCCAGTTCTGGAGTTCTAAAAAACACACTTCTCCAATACACAGTCTTGAATCTTGGTGTTAGTTTGTGTGCAGGGCAAAGGATGATGTTTTTCATTCCACACATTTTATAGAATAAATGGTGTTGGAAACCTACCATGGCATTCTGTTGAGAAGCCACCTTCCCTCATCACGAGTGCACACTGCTTCTACCTGCTCCTGTGCATAAATTAGCTAAATACTAAACAACTGATATATCGTGCCACAATGCCAACACAAGGGGAGGGCAGAAATGAGGTCTGGGCTGCAGAGTTTTTCAAAACCCTGATATTTTTACTGTTAGGAGAAGGGGAGAGGGATTTTTTTTTTCCTGGTAGGAAAGGCTAGGTTTTTGCACTGCGCTGCAGGGTCCAGCTCCAGGGCTCTGTGCTGGCTGGTGTCTGAATGGCTCAGTGTTTTGGTGAGGCTCTGGCTTGGCTCTTAGCCTGTTCTGCTGTCCTTTTTCTGCTTTGTTGGTGTGCTTGGACAGCTTCCAGAGCTAGATCAGTTGTAGTCCCGCTGGTGTAGAACTGGAAACAACCCCTCTTCACAATGACCACTTTCAGAGGGGAGGTTTTGCATGCTATTGATTTTATGACTGTAAACAGTACAGAAGATACCTGATTCTTTCTGACGGGCTTAGCTGCAATACATGGGCACTACAATAAGCCCATAAGTGCTTGGTCATGTGTCATAAGCTGTGTCATTCACCAGAGGTCACTTCAAGGAAGTTTTTACCTTATGAGCCATTAGCTTGTTACTTGCTCTTCTGTGTCTGTTTTCAAACTGAAGCCTTCTTTTAAGCAGTCACTTCAGAGTGTGAAGAAGAAAATCTGTAGCAAATAATTGGTGAAACCACAGTATGTCTCATTCGTGGTGGGCCCAGGAGTCAGGCTCAGTTTGGAGAACTTCATGAATGGAGGTTAAAGGGGGAAGAGGGTCAAAAAGGATCTAGGTATTTTTGTTTCTTTTTTTCTTCTTGTAAATCCTGACTCTGTAACTTAGTGTTTATCTTCCCTAACAGTCCTCTTACTGCTTGGTTGGTATATATATATATTTTTTTAATCCTTTCTTTTTCTTCTCTTTCCACATTTGCTTCTGTTTGTACACACTTATTGGGGTAGTTGTGTATATGGAAAGCGAAAGGTTGGCTATGCCTTGACACGGAGGCTCTGAGGAGAGAACTAGGACAACAGCAACCTCTTTCTCTGGCAGGAAGGAGGCTGTTTTTCATCCTTCTGATCCATTACTGGTAGTTTAGGCATTTCTCCCCCCAGATGATTTTTGTTGTCTAACTCTAAATTGGTATTGCAATGTGCAATACTGCTGACTTCTGAGCACACTTTAATGGCACTGGGCTGTACATCCCTAAGTTGAAGAAGACTATTCGTTGTTTTGTTGAACATTCTTCATAGCCCCCAATTTATGTTTTTCATGCAGCCATTTCTTTCTGAGGGTATTCATCCCTGTACACAAACAGGTTGTGGAGATGCTGTATGTGTGTCAAGGATGGAGGATCAGGGTTAAAAAATGATTCTGTTAGTCTGTAGTAATTTGTATCTTATTTCAAGCTTTTTTTTTTTAAAAAAAAAACTTTGCTGTTTGTGGTGTTGGTTAGTGTTGCAGGTGTCTTGAGGTTCAATAGCACAGAGCATTGTGTGTCTTAAATCTTGTGTTGAGTTTGGGATGACCTAAAGGCTTCATCTTCTGTGGAAGAAAGGGGAATAAAGTCTCCATACCCTGAGGTTGTAGTGCTTGTGCGGTGACCACATTGTTCCAGGGAACTACCCAGTGTGTGTGCAAGTGAGGGGATCTCATGCATGTGTACCTTTTCCTTTTGTCCGTATCTTCCTGAAAGCTTCCTCTGTATTTGCACTCCCCAAGAAGCACTCCTTTTCTGCTTTCGTGAAATGCAATTTATGCTCTTCTGACTTGTAAAGCTGTCCAGAGAAGGTATAAAGGGGCAACTGTTTCTCACTGGAATATAAAGGAATAGTCCATCACTGTGGCGGTTGCAGCAGGTTGAGCAACTCTGTGCTTGTCACTGAACTGCTTACTCAATCGTATTTTCTGCATGCTTTCGTACTTGATGTGCCACAAATGTGAAGGTGAGAGGAATCCTGCCCTGCTCTCCTTCATTCAACAGTCCTTCCTGGGAGCTGCAAAGACAAGGCAGTAGTCACTGGCCAAAAGAAGTGCATAACCTTCTAACTTGCTGCATGTCTGTTCTTCTTTATGCACTTCTCTTTGAAAATGCGGGGGGTATAATCATCGCCAGAGTTTGTGTTGCTTTTGTAATGTATTTTTTATTCCTTTTTGCTAGCTGGCTTGCCTTTTGCAATTCTCAGTTCAAGACGTATCCCCTTCCAGAGAGGAGTTTTCTGTAGTGATGAATCCATCCGGTATCCATACAAAGAGGACACCATTTCTTATAAGTTGTTAGCAGGAATAATTATTCCTTTCAGTATAATTGTTGTAAGTTAAACTTTTCTTCATTGCATTTGATTTCAATGGGGGTGGGGAAGAGGGAGGAGGGACAATCTGTTAATGCAGACTTCTAAAACTGTATTCTATAAAATTTCTTGACTTTAAAATAATGTCCTTAGACCAGGTGCTAAGCAGTAGAAATGATGTTCTGGCAAAAATAACTAAAAGGTTTTCTTTAACTGAGGGCAAACACCTAGAATTATGGAACAGAAAAAAAATACCTTAGAACTATGGTGGCTTAGTTCTGTAGTCTGAGAGAGAAAAAAATTCCTCCCTTGCTGTATCAGTTAAGAATAACACTAACCTTTTTTAAATGACTCTCAAGCTTTTCTATTTTAAGAGCTACTACTTTCAGAATGTGAGTTTGCATGACCTGTTAAGTCATTTTTATCTGCCACAAGAGTCATTAGAAATATTCTATGTGTGGAAGTGTAACAGATACTAAGTTCTTTAATAGAAAAATACCATGGCTTCCAATCAGAACTTACCAAAAGCATAACTAGAATGAAAAGAGTGTGTATCCAGGGAGTTTTTCACTGGATACTTCCCCGAAGGTCAGGATAAAACTCTGGGCCCATTTGTGTTTGAATTAATGCTAGGACTCATTTTCATGCTGCACCTAATCTGGTTGAAAATGGGGTACTATTCTCCTTCCCTCCTCTTCATGCCTCAGCTGGAGACATTGCCTCTGTGTCTGCCAGTTTAGGATCTCCCTCTTTGACCACAGCTCCTAGCTCAGTTGAAGTGTCTCAACCATATAGTGAATATGTATTGTGAAGATTTAATTACATGCTGTCAGCTGAGCTAACCTCATAGCTTACTGTGGACAAAAGGTGAGGTCCCACTATTACTGTGTCTTTTGCCACCTCTGATGGCTTGTCTGAACCAGGATAAGCTAGAGAATTTCCTTAACCTGGCAGAAGACAGCAGCTTTCTTTGAGCTAGTTGAACGAAAAGGCTCCTGGAAGAATATAATATCAGTGCTGGGGCAAAAAGTGATGGGGGCACGTCCTTGGGCAGGGGCCTGTGGTAGAGCTGGACCTCATCAGTTACCCATTTTGTGTTCTAAATCTCATGAGACTGCACTTCAGTTCTAACAATGGCCCTTCAACAGGGGCTTCAAGATTCATCTCCGGATGTGCGAAAAAACTTAAAGGCTCTGTGTTGGGTGACATTCACGCTTATCAGAGCTACACTTTAAGCAGCGTTAAAAAAATCTTTTAATAAGATTTTTAGGAGTATAAATATTTATCCAAGTGTATTTTAGGAATCAAAGCTAGAAAAAGAGCAGCTAAATGTAAACCTCTCAGTATTGGCCAGCTATTTCCCTGGGCTAGTGGGTTAAAATCAGGAGGGATATTATGGCAATCTAACTCTTGCATAAAGGCTGCATGGATTTTTATCTAGATTCCAATATAAAGGTCAACTTGTACTTAGGTTTGCTCTTGGGTGGAATTTTTTTTCATAACTGTAGCAAAGTGGGCCTAGGAATCAAAACTGTGACTTACCTAGTTTTCCTTTTTTTGGAAAAACTGCATAAAAGGCTTAGAGAAACAGTTTTGGAGCAGATAAAACTTTTCTGGTTTTTGTCTGTTCCATTAGCTGGCAAGTGGTTTATGCTAAAAGATTGTGCCTTTTTAGGACTTTTTTTTTGCACCCTGTTACTATCATTGCACCCTGTTACTATCATTGCACCCTGTTACTATCATTGCACCCTGTTACTACCATTAAGAGCAGCAGTAGCTGGTCACAACTGAAGTCCATCTAACTTGTTACCTCATTTCTAGCAGTGGTTGAAACAGATGAGTAAGGAAGAACACAAGAACAGAGCAACCAAAGATAGATGTTTTGCTCTCGGTACTTTGCTGCCAGCCATATGCAGCTCAGGGACTTCCTGAGTCAGAAAAGGCTTCAGTGAATGTAGTAATTTTTAATGAATGTATTTCCTTTGAATTTATCCAATCTCTGTATAAGCCTGCATAAACACGTGGCTAACAAAGTTACCTTTAACATAGGGACCATCTTTTGGTTGTGAAATCAGGCTTTTTTGTCAAGATTGCTTTAAAGTCAGATGGTAAAAGCAAAAGTTGGTGTCCTTTACTCAATTCTCAGTCAGATTGTTGAACATGAATACTCTTTGATGTCCGCATCCAGTGAAGCGACCTTCTTGCAGGTTTTGCAGCAGTGTTCTTCAAAAGGGATGCATTATTTATAAGTCTCAGCTGTGATATTTCTGCTCAACCAACTTCATTAGGAGATTACTCTATGAGATAGGAGGATTCTGTATAAGAGCATACCAACATCTACTTTACTGAGAACTTCTCAGCTTTAGTCTATGTTCTGGTGTTTCTCTGCTTCAGTCAATGTTTCAGTGTGGTGCAGGGTCTAAAAATTTCAGTGTCACACATCTGATGGGACTGTCTGTTTGCCTTAATGTGCAAAGCTGCCAACAGCTACTTTGTCTGTGGTCTAATAACAACCTCATTCACTAAAGCTCTGCTTTGCTGGGGTCCTGGATTTGTCACTCTCAAGTGACAGATGGAGCCACCATTATATCTTCACAGGATTTTGTAAAGATCACTTTACATATGTGCATACAGTCCCCCACCCATTTGATCATCTGTATGAGTTGAGCCTTTCTGTACGAGATGGGACTGTCTGGTTCAATATCCAACCTGTCTGGGGTGAAGTTTTGTACTTGGTTTAAGGAAAAAACTCACTTTCTGCAAAAGATAAAGTTGCATGAAAACAAAATTGAATCTGCTTTCCTGTCAACATTTGATATGCACTTGATGCATAAACCCTGGACATGCAGAGTGGAAAAATCCCGGGAAAGCCCTCAGTAATGCCTGTCTTCCCCTCCTGCCATTATTTTTCTCCCCTAAGGATTTAATTTTCCTGAGGACAGGAAATTTCTTTGTTTAAATAACTAGCCTTTCATATCCAGAAATGAAGTCTAGACCTTTCAGAATAGTCTCTGGCTTCACGAGAAACCTAATGACTTCGTAATGAAATAGAAAAATTTTGCTCAGCAGACGTTTAGCTGAAGAAGACTCAATGTAAAATGAAATGTCATGCTGGAGGAAATGTTTCTAATTGAGGCCATGCCAAGTAATACAGATAAATGTTACTCTGAGAAGGCTTTCTTTTAATAAATATTCTGAAAATCAATAATAGTTCAACATGAAGCAGGATAAGGTAAGTTTGTTTTGTTTGGTTCTTTTTCCTATGTAGAAGTGTTGAAGGTTTGGGTGTGGTTACTGTTGTCTCTTGGAAAATTTAAATTTATAGATTAATGTTTATTAAAAAAATTATTTATGAAACTACATGTCTGAGTATTAACAGCAATAGAGTAATAAAGTGATTATCTTTCTTTAACTGTTTTCCTTATTTCTCTTTCAGATAATCCTAGGAGAGACCCTCTCTGTCTTTTATAATCATTTGCACTCAAATTCATTTGTCAGAAATAACTACATAGCCACTATTTACAAAGCCATTGGGACCTTCATTTTTGGAGCAGCTGCTAGCCAGTCATTGACAGACATTGCCAAGTACTCCATAGGTAGACTGCGTCCTCACTTCCTCGCTGTGTGCCAGCCTGACTGGACGCGAATCAACTGCAGTCTAGGTTACATTGAGAACTTTTCCTGTCAAGGAGACAAAGCAAAAATCAATGAGGGAAGGTGAGTCTCACTAACCTTATATACATGGTTGTAAGACGTGTTTATTAACTTGGGACGATGAGTTTGGCATCGCTACTGCATTTTTTTGTCATTCTCCTAGAATAAATTTCTTGTAATGATTTCTAAAATTTGAGCCCTGTCTAGAGACGGAGATTTTTTTCTAATTTCTAGAAACTTGTTTTATTCGTTATAGAAGAATGCATAAATTATTGTTTATTCACTTCTGCTTTTTTACAAAATGTGACATTCAGTTTTTATTCAGCTTCTATTTATGTTTCTAAAATATCTGTGCATCCCGATGAAGAGAAGAATTTGAAATGTGCCTTAAATTGGATGTGCAATGGCAAGGAAAAGAGTTCAGATTTAGAATGAAAGTAAATAAAAACTGGATGTATCCATATAAAAATATGGAGGGCTGTTAAGAGAATCACTGTACTCAGTTTTCTCATCATTAGGCATTTCATTACCTTAAATATTTACCTACAGTTCAATTGCAGCAAGATAACGGGGAAACAAAAATCAGGCATCTGACACTTTGGAGTTTTTTGTCACTGTTACAAACAGTGTTTGAATACTATTGGAAATCTTAAAGTATGTTCAGAATAATTTCTGGTATTAGAGTTGCTTGGGCTCCCTGGAAGCTTAGCTTCAGTGAAACTTCTTGCCATTCTTCTTCCAGAAGGCCTGTGTATCCTGTTAATCAGAACTTTTATCTCTGTGTTGTTTTTAAATATGTGTGTGTAGGTTTTGTTCACTGTCCTCTGTGCTCATTTGCTCTTCTAGCATGTGTCCCTATGGATCTTCCAGTAGCATGCATGGTATTCCTTAGCAGTCACAGGCAAATGTTGCCTATTCATTTGGTAAGGGACTAGGTCAAGCTCCAAGTCATGTGCAGCAGCTGTTCAGAGATGCCAGGGGAAGTTTGTATTTTGAACGGCTGTTGGTAGTAGAGGAGCAAGTGCTGATAGGCAGTAAAGCAGATAAACCCTAAGATGACCAGAACATCGTGCTGGTAGTAAACAGACGAATTGGCATTTGTTCTTTGAGGGGTTAAAGTAGAGGAGTGTGCTTCATGTGCAGCTTTTTTTTTTATTTGTATTACTAGTGCCCATAATTGTGCTTGGAAGACTTTACTTACATATTCAAAGCTGTTCTAGACACTGATTATTGGATGTGCTTTCTTTGCCTGTAACTAGCCCTGTAGAGCCAGAATATCCGCTACTAAGGTACAACTTTTATCTCTGTTCAGGAAATGTGTGATGTACTTCTGAAGACTTGTAATGGTCACTTTGTATATGACTGTCAACTTCAGTTTGGAAGAAGGCAGAGTAAACAAAGGAGGATTATCATGGAATGTAGAAAATAATTCTAAGCATCATGTCTGTCAGACTTTTAAATGTTACTGACTTTTTAAAGGTCTGACTTGTAGTAGAACAACCTTAATTGAAATAAAGGAGATGCTACCTCCCCCAAGATAACATCTTGTCAGCTTTGCAAATTTTTTGAGTTAGCAGAAGTAGTTGCCAGAAACTAACTCTTTAGAGTGTGACAGAAGATAAAATGGTAACGTAGAAGGGATGGGGAAATACAGGTTTTGTTGATTATTACATTGTGGCAGGGGTAAAATATTCTGACGATTTTGCTTCAACTCACTAAAAGTGGTATTTATTTTTGGTTTTCTGCTACTGTGTGAAAAGATAGTTGTCTAAGTTTCAAATGAAATAAGTCTAAACAATTGCACATTCTCAGGTAATTTGTGAAACAGAATTGTATGGTTTTGTGCATGAAACTGTGGGCTCAAAATTCAGCTTGGGCATAGCTCAAGCTGTGAGCTAAGTCTTCAGCTGAACTTCTACATGAGTCTAAAAATACTTCTTAAATAACAAGGGAAAGGCAAAAAAACTTGAGTTGATTGTAGTAACTAAAATGATCATAAAATAAAATTTCCTGGTTTTTGGGGATGCCAAAAGGATTTTAGCTTACTGGAAGCAGGATTTGTCTGTCATATCTTAGCTGATGAGCTGTTAGGTCTGTATTCCCAGCAACTGTTTTGTTCCCTTTTTCTGTTGGCCCTGTTGCTCCCTAGAAAACGATGTAGGAGGGCTTTCTTTGGTCAAAGCTTGTCTTGAGGTGGTGACTTAAGTGTGAGCTCACCTGTGGTGTTTCTGCTGTCAGCTGAGGCTTTTCGACGCACAGAAAGCTGTAATCAAAAAATAAGTTAATGAGGTCAAAGAAGGGTAGATTACAGCGGGACATTGTCCTGTACAGGTGGATGTCGTGGATGCAGTGACCCAGTCATTCTGGGTTTCTTATGGAAATCGGGCCCTAGATCTGAAAGGGTGGTTTCAACGATCTTGGATCATGTGCCTACATACCATACAGTTAATAGGCTGCTAAGAGGGGGGAGTCTGATTGCAGTGAATTTTACAGCAAGTTGGAGGAAGTCAATAGGCTCTCAAACTGTCATTTGGGTGAATTTCTGGATCAGTTGGACAAAATTATTAGCAGCAAACTTACTACCATCTATGCTTATTTGCATGAAATAAATACGCAGGTAGAAATGCCAAGAAAGAATGAAGGCAGGACAATTGGTGTTGCACGCAAAATCGTATGTTCTGAATTGAACCTACTATTCCTGTGTAGTAGTAGAACTTGAAGTTGGTTTTGAATATGTCTAAAGAATCATGCTCGGTTACATAGTAAACAAAGATTAGATTTGTCTTTTTGACTGTTTCTTAATTGATAGTAGGAACATAATGCTTCCGGTCTAAGAATCCATTGTGTGCTTCCACTATGCATATTGTACCCTTCTATTTTGTTCTCTCATCCCTTCTTATAATTTTATACTTATCAAAAGTGTAAAATAGTGTTAGTATACGCATCCCTGAGTAGATCAGAGCTTTTAGTCTGAAATAAAGTGCATGTGTGTTGAAGAGATTGTGTATAAGATGGAGGTCTCTAAAGGATACTTCAGAAGTGGTACAGAAGTTAGGTAATCAACAGTTGTTCCCATTTCCTCCTAATAGTAAAACTGAAAGGTGAAATATTTGAAGTAGTTTCTTATTTTTGTTTTTTCCCACATGAGCATTAGGAAGATGAAGTAAGCTGTGGAACTTTTTGCAGTGCTGGGATGTGTATCTTTATAGGGGGTTCAAAAAACCATTTGACCAAACTTCTGGAAGAATAAAACCCAGAAAACAACCTATGCTTCTGGAAGTCTGTAAGTTTTACGGTTGGAAGCTGAGAGTGCTTTGGACACTATTGTTGCATATTTTGTCCCAGTATTGTTTTATGCGAATCTGATGTTTGCAACTCTTTTCATATGTCTACTATATTATAACAGAGGCATGGGGGAAAGATAATCATTAGTCTTTGTTGTTCATCAGTAACAGTAGCATTAAAATATACTAAAATACATATGCTTTATCATAAATATAAAACAATGGACTTATACTTGGTTGTCTAAATTAGTAAAGTGGCTATGGGTTTTGGTTAGTTTCAGTAAAGTTTTTCTTTCTAACCTGAGCTTGATAAGCTAAGCCTTGCTGCCTTAAGTATCTTGTTTGCTCTGTATCACACTGAAAACAGTCCTCTTCAGTTTTAAATAGCTTAGGTTCTCCCTGACAACTTTTACAATGTGTTTGCACTTTCAGTACTACTGGTGGTTAAGGATCACAATCATAGTTGTATGCTTACTAAATCTCTCATATTTGTTGAAAGATGTAAGAGTTGGCATATATTATTTGAAAGTATGTAGCACTTGAAGATCTTTAAAATATCCATGGAAATAACTAGTTACATTAAAAGTTGCTAGTTAAGTATTAGCATTAGAAACTGTACTTTTCTGTGTCTCTTGTAAGACCACCCTTTCTTCAGGCAGTCCTTGGCATTTCATTTAGGCTAGACACAGAAGCTTGGTATGAGCTACTTCATGGCAGTTTCTGAGGGTGAATGACTTAATAGAACTGCAGTCTTAACCTTTTATGAAGGTGTTGCTACGTTTGATGCCAACTAGTTGTACGTAGACTTTTGTAGTATACTATTTAAATAAATATTAATAGTAACTCAATAAATGTGTGATTTTTATACTCAAAAGAACCATCACCTTCATAGATCAAGCAATGTTCTCCGTAAAGCGTGTAACACAGTTGAGTAAGATATATAATCTTAAAAATGTATAGCTGCACTGGGCAGAAGGGTACAGAACTTCATATCATGTAGTTTCTTTACTGGGAGACAGTGGCTTGTTTAGTGTTTTGGAAAAGCAAATTTGATAAGCAAGCACAAGTTCTAGTGTCTATGGATGAAGAGGAATCAAAGCCAAGGGGTCCTCCTATCACTAGTGCTAGCAATTAGTATGTTCACACTTAGTAAACCAGTGTTAATGCTACTGGATTGCCTTTAAGGTGATTTCTTTAGCACTTACAAACATAATGACTCACTAAATGGCTTTCCATTTTCAAATCAGCAAAGTTGAGCTCAGTAAAATAAGTAGGTGTGCTAGGCTGATTGAGGGAGGATATGCGCAAGCAGTCTCTACTGATTTCTGATCTCTTTGGCTTTGGCAGCTCCCATTCTTGTTCAATTCTTCCTTTTCTTTTGGCTTGTTACTGCTTACCTTTGTGTGGTTTTGAGTGGGTTGGCAAGATACCCAAATTCTTCAGAGGCAGGGAGGACACTGAAAGGACAGATGATGACTTCTCCATTCCTTATTGTTAGCTAAGGCATACTTCCCAAACCTGTCCGCCCCAGCCAGGCCATGGCAGATTGTTTATGTGTCCTGTTTGTTAGCTTTCTTGCATAGAATCACAGAAGGGTTTGGGTTGGAAGGGACCTTAGAGATCATCTAGTTCCAACCCCCCTGCAATGGGCAGGGACACCTCCCACTAGAGCAGGTTGCTCCAAGCCCCATCCAACCTGGCCTTGAGCACTGCCAGAGAGGGGGCAGCTACAGCTTCTCTGGGCAACCTGTTCCAGGGTCTCACCACCCTCAGGGTGAA